CTTATATAATCTAGGCTGACCTTGAACTCGTGCTCTGTCTCCGCTCCTTGGATGCAGGGACTAAAGTGAAACGCTGCTACAGTCAGTTCAACCGATCTCTCTTTGTAAACTGCGTTTATTTATCTTTATGTGGCTTTGGCCTTCTGGCTTACACGTGCATGTAGTGCCCTCGTAGTCTCTGTGTGTGTGTATGTGTGTGTACATCTGGACTTCAGGTGTCTTCCTCTAATACTCTCTGTCTTATTCCCTTGAAAATGTCTCACTGACCCTGAAGCCCACATTGTGGCTAGGTTGGCCCGCTATTGAGCTGTCGGGATCCAATTGTTTTTTGTTTTTTGTTTTTTGTTTTTGTTTTTTTTTTTTTTTTGCTTGTTTGTTTTTGTTTGTCGAGACAGGGTTTCTCTGTGTAGCTTTGCGCCTTTCCTGGAACTCACTCTGTAGCCCAGGCTGGCCTCGAACTCACAGAGATCCGAGTGCTGGGACTAAAGGCATGCGCTACTATTGCCTGGCATGTTTTCATTTTTTAAAAATAAGATTTCAGTTTCAAATCGTGTGTGTGTATGTGTGTGTGTGTGTGTGTGTGTGTGTGTGTGTGTGTGTGTGTGTATGAATTCAGGTGCCCTTGGCATCAGATCCCCTGGAGCTGGAGCTACAGGTAATTGTGAATCACCTGATGTGGGTGCTGAGAATTGAACTCTGATCCTCTGCAGAAACAGTATGAGCTCTTAACTGCTGAGCCATCTCTAGCTTCTGAACTTGTATTTTTTTTTTAAAGGTTTATTTATTATGTACAGTGTTCTGCCTGCATGTATCCCTGCAGGCCAGAAGAGGGCACCAGATCTCGTTATGGATGGTTGTGAGCCACCATGTGGTTGCTGGGAATTGAACTCAGGACCTCTGGAAGAGCAGCTGATGCTCTTAACCTTTGAGCCATCTCTCCAGCCCCCTGAACTTGTATTTTTAGATCTTGTGAGTTTCTTATCCTTTTTCATACTCATTTAGTGTAAATCTTACTATACCTACTGTCTAGTAAGAAGACTATAGCAAGACCTTTTTTTAAAACCAGCACACTGTAGGCAGAGGCAGGTAGATCTCTGTGAGTTCGAGGCCAGCCTGGTCTACAGTGTGAGTTCCAGGACAGCCAGGGCTACACTATCCTGTCTCAAAACAAACAATAAAATCAATATCAGAGTCTCTGATGGTCTTGTAGACACAAGGCATGAAGTACACACACACATAACCCCCCCCCATAAAGATTAATTTACATAAAAGAAAATCAAATCTTAAAAATGATACAAGATGACAATTTAGTTTTTTTTTTGTTTGTTTGTTTTTTTTTTGTTTTGTTTTTTTGAGACAGGGTTTCTCTGTGTAGCTTTGCACCTTTCCTGGAACTCACTTGGTAGTCCAGGCTGGCCTCGAACTCACAGAGATCCGCCTGGCTCTGCCTCCCGAGTGCTGGGATTAAAGGCGTGCGCCACCACCGCCCGGCTGACAATTTAGTTTTAGGGACCATGAGTAATGGTATAAATCTTCAGTTTGCTAGCTTATTGAAATTTCCATAGATAAAAATGTTTTGTGATTCTAGGCAAATTCATTCATTTCTTCTTTGGGGAATTTCTTGATCCATAATCAGATACTGCTATTAGATTCTCTTTTCTCTTGCTCCCTCTCTTTATCACCTGTCCCTCCTTATCTCTCTTACTTTAAATGTATTTTGTTTATGTGCCTGCATAAATTTATGTACACCCCTTGCATGCTGTGAAGGCCAAAAGGCATTAGATCCCCTAGAACTGAATTGCAGGTGATTTGTAGCCTGCCTGATGTCTAAGAACAGAAACTGGGACCTGTGCAAGAGTAGTAAGTACTCTTTCAAAAGAAAAAAAAAACACTTTTTATTATTTTGTTTGTATGGGTGTTTTGCCTGCATGTATTTCTGTGTACCGTATACATCCTTGGTGCCTACAGAGTCCAGAAAACCGTGTATGATCCTCTGATACTGTAGTTACAGATGATTATGAGCCTCCATGTTGGTGCTGGGGATGGAAACCTGGTCCTCTGGAAGATCAGCCAGTGCTTTTAACGATGGAACTACCTTTCCATCCCATTCCTCTCTTTAAAAAATTACATTTATTTTTATTTTATTATTGTGTGTGTATGCATGCCGTGGTACAAGTGTGGCCGTCAGGATAATAAGTGATGGTTGGTTCTCTCATTCTACCATGTAGGACCCAGGAATCAAACCTAAGCATGCTAAGCAAGGTTCTTCCTCCAACCCCAGGCCTCCACCTCAAAGCCCTGATTCAACTATTTGATCTTTGTTTTGCCCTATGCAAGGCCGATGTCCTCATGGACAGCACTGGAGTTGTTGGACTCACCAGGTTGACTGGTCCACCTGCAAAATCTTGAGGCTAAGCTTCCAGTTTAGGTCTGACAGTAAACTTGCTCCTTAATTGACCTTTTTTTTCTGGGGTTTTTAATATTTCCCTGATTCCCTTCTGCGCTTAACCCTTGGCCAAATGGCAAGTTTTCATTTATTTATTTAATTATTTATTCTGTTTGTTTTGAGACAGGGTCTCTCCCTACAGAGCTCTGTTCTGGAACTATAGACAAAGCTGGTCTTGAACTCACAGAGATCTACCTGCCTCTGCCTCCTGAGTGCTGGGATTAAAGGTATGCACCACCATGTCTGACTTTCATTTATTTGTTATTTAATGTGCATTGGTGTTTTGCTGTGGATGTCAGGTCCCCTGGAACTGGAATTACAGACCGTTGTGAGCTGCCCTGTGGGTGGTGGGACTTGAACCTGAGTCCTCCAGAAGAGCAGTCAGTGCTCTTAACCACTGAGCCATCTCTCCAGCCCCTTATTTATTTTTTTAAAAACAGTGTTTCACTATATAGCCCTGGCTGGCCTGGAACTCCATGTGTAGACCACACTGGCCTTGAACTCACAGATCTGCCTTCCTCTGCCTCGAAAGTGCTGGGACTAAAAGCCACTTTAGAAATGACAAAAGCCAGGGGCAGGAGAGATGGCTCAGCAGTTAAGAGCACTGGCTGCTCTTCCAGAGGACCTGAGTTCAATTCTCAGCTACTACAGGGTGGCTCATAGCCATCTATTAATGAGATCTGGTGCCCTCTTCAGGCATGCAGGCAGAACAACACTGTATACATTAAAAAAAAAAAAGGGTTGGGCATTTAGCTCAGTGGTAGAGCGCTTGAGAAGAAGAAGAAGAAGAAGAAGAAGAAGAAGAAGAAGAAGAAGAAGAAGAAGAAGAAGAAGAACAAGAAGAAGAACAAGAAGAAGAACAAGAAGAAGAACAAGAAGAAGAAGAAGAACCAGCAGCAGCAGCATAGGGTCGCGGTCCAGGTTTGAACCTGAAAATTAAAAAAAAAAAAAAGTTGATCTCAGCACTCGGGAGGCAGAGGCAGGTGAATCTCTGAGTTTGAGGCCAGCCTGGTCTACAGGATGAGTTTCAGGACAGCCAGGGCTACACAGAGAAACCTGCCTCAAAAAAAGAAAGAAAAAGATATTCAAATTTATGTGCGTGTGTGTGTGTGTGTGTGTGTGTGTGCGTGTATGTGTGTGTGTGCGTGTGTGTGTGTGTGTGTGTGTGTGTGTGTGTGTGTGTGTGTGCGTGTGTGTGTGTGTGCGTGCGTGTGTGTGTCTGTATGGTGGTTAGAGTATTAGGTGCCCGAGGAGTCCAGAAGAGGGTGTCAGAACCCTGAAGTTGGGAGTTTCAGGGAATCGTGAGCCATCTACTGGGAACTCGAACTTATTTTTGTTTGTTTGTTTGTTTTGGTTTTTCGAGACAGGGTTTCTCTGTGTAGCTTTGCGCCTCTCCTGGAACTCACCTGGTAGCCCAGGCTGGCCTTGAACTCACAGAGATCCACCTGGCTCTGCCTCCCGAGTGCTGGGATTAAAGGCGTGCGCCACCACTGCCAGGCTCTTGTTTGTTTTTTGAGAGTGGATCTCACTATGTACCTCTGACTGTCCTCAAACTTGCTATGTAGACCAGGCTGACTTCAATCAGATCTGCCTGCCTCTGCCTCCAGAGTGCTGAATTAAAGGCGTGTGCCTGCACTCTTGACAGATTTATCTTTTTTTTTTTTCATTGTGTATGTTTTTTGCCTGCCTTGTTTGTGTATCACTTGCATGTGGTGCCTGTGGGGTCCAGAAGAGGGCGATATATCCTATGTAACTGGAGTTCTAGACAGTGTTGATTTTGGAGATGGATCCCTGATCCTGTGGAAGAGCAGTCAGTGCTTTTAACTACTGAGGTATCTCTCCAGCCCTAAGTGCCAATGAGATGCCTCATCAACATTTGTCATTAAGCCAGATGTCTTGAATCTGATCTCCAGGACCCACCTGGTTGAAGGGGAACCAACTCTTCCTGAAAGTCACCCTTTGACTCCCTCATGCCTGCTGTGGTGGACACACAAACACACACACATTCAGTTTGTATGTACACATACAAGGTAATGTTCTTTAGTAAAATAATTTATTTAACTTTATTTTATGTGTATTGGTGTGAAGGGGTCAGATCTCCTGGAACTGGAATTACAGACAGTTGTCAGCTGCCATGTGGGTGCTGGGAATTGAACCCGGGTCCTCTGGAAGAGCAGTCAGTGCTCCTAACCCCTGAGCCATCTCTCTAGCCCCCCATACAAGGGTATATTAAAAAAAGTTTATTGTGGGCTGGAAAGATGGCTCAGGGGTTAAGAGCACTGGCTGCTCTTGCAGAGGACCCAAGTTCAGTTCCCAGCACCCACAGGACAACTCACGCTGATCTGTAACTCCAGTGCTGGGGCTTTGACTCCCTCCTCTAGAACGCACATATGTGGTATGCAGACAAAAATCCATACATATGAGTTAAAATAAACACTTAAAAGCATTTTTAAAAGTTTATTGCCTTTTTAAGGAAACCAGGGTAGTTGTCTTGTGGAGTGTGCAACAATATGGGTTTTCAAAAAACAAAAGTAAAGCAACAACAATAAAACAGTATTGCCATGCATTCTAGGATGTCCTGGGGGTCACCACTGTCTTCCTACCTTCCCCAGCTAGGATTATGGGCTTTCAATACTTACTGTGCTTCTTCTTCTTCTTCTTCGTCTTCTACTTCTTCTTCTGGAGACATGGTTTGGGCCTCCGACTCACAGATATCCCCCTACCTCTGCCTCACAAATTCTGGGATTAAAGGCGTGTGCAATGCCACTCGGCCAGAATATCTTCTTGTACTGATGTTTAACTTGTTCCTTTGTCCCTGCAAATGGCTAATTAGATCTAAACCGAAACGATCCTTTTTGGCAGGAATTTTATTCAAGAAGTATAGTGTAATAGTTACTTCTTTTATTTCATCAAGGATCTCATGTTATCAAAGTTGACGTAATACTAGTGATGAATTTTGATTGCTTAACTTGGTAACTTGTTAGATCTCTCCATTTAAAGTTACTTTATTGTAGAGTTTGAAAATAATCTTTGTGGTGACATTTAGCACTACCATCACACTCTATTCCCGAAGAACATCCAAGAACCTCCTCCTCCTCTTCTTTTTTTCTCTTCTTTTTAAAGACAGGGTTTCTGTGTAGCCCTGGCTGTCCTGGAACTTGCTCTGCAGTCCAGGCTGGCCTCGAACTCAAGAGGTCGGCCTGCCTCTGCCTCTCCAGTGCTGGGATCAAATGCGTGCACCACCACTGCCTGGTTTAAGAACATTCATCTTAAGTCCAATTCTTCACTATAATTTTTATTGCCTGATTCAGTATTCTGGGCTGCAGAATAGTGATGTTTTCATTTCTTCTGCACTTATTAAACGGGATCATTGTTTTTAGAGTAAGAAATCTGTGTGATACTTTCAGTCTGGCGATTAGTGTTTTCAGACAACTTGATTTTCCTTTCTTTCCCTCCCATCCCTTTTCCTCCTCTGTTCATGATCCATGGCGATGGCCACTTCAATTCGTACTTAGGCCTGAGCTTTCCAGCTCGCCCGCTAGAGGCCACTAGCTTTCTCCGCACTCCTACGCTGCCGCTCTATCACAGACTTCACCGTTGGTTACCGGCCGTTGTCTCGCTGGTGCCGACGCTGTCCAAGGAGCCGCTCTAGGCTCTGGGAAGGCCGTCCGCATTGCGTGGGGAAAGTGTGGACGACGCAGTCGACTCGCCGGCCCCCGGGGCGGTTAGCGCTTCCGGGGTCGAAGGGTGCGCGGGGTTGAAAGCGGCCCGCTCCGCCCCGTCCCCCTCCCAGACCAGCAGAGGCAGCAGCCGGAGCAGCCGCAGCCTGCGCCCTCTCCCGCCCGCCCGCCCTCCGCCCGCCCGCCCGCCCTCCGCCGCCCTCCACCCGCCCCGGGGTCTCTTTCCCCTCTCCTCCTCCTCCACCCCCCCCTCCTCCGCCCGCTAGCGGGGCCCCCCTCGCCTTCCCGCCCGCCCCTATTGTTCCGCCCCCGGCCTCCCGCCCTTCCCCTTCCCGCCCGCTCCCCTTTTCCCCTCAGTCGACTCGCGCCTCCAGGTAAGCTTAAAAATTTCTCCTCCGCCCCCGACCGTAGCTTCTGTTTCCACTCATGTCATCTTTCTTGGAGCACTCCGGTCGTAGTCTGGGGCCTCGGCCTTTCGTAGTCCCGCCTGAGCGTCCACTACTTCTCTCTTCCTGGCCGTCCATTCACGCGAGGCCCTGGCTCTGGCGCGGCCTAGTAGGCCTCGCGCACAGCCTGCCCCCCTCCCCCCGCCTCTTCCCGGTGGCGGCTGCGCAGGAGTCAGGGAGGGCGCGCGCGCGGCAGGGGGGGCGGCGGTGGATTTGTTGGTTGAGGGGGGTGGGGGAGGCGATGGCCGGCTTGCTGGCCGGGCGGGTGAGCGCGGCTCCCCGCGGGGGTCAGGCGCTGGCGCAGCCACACGAGGAGGCGCTACTTGTCCGGCCCCTCCCCCTGGGTCGCAGCGCCCCCCCCCGACCGAACCGTTTATTTCCTCCCCCTTCTAGTCAAGGGAAGGGGGGGGGCTTTTTTTTTTTTTTTTTAAAGTGGAAAATGCTTGGATGACCGGGGCGGGGGAGGGGAGTAGGGGGCTGCAGAGTTAAAGGGTAGGCGGACTCCCAGTTACCGAGTTACTCTGACGTTCTCTCGGGTAACGAATTTTGAAATTACAAAATGCCTGCCGCTATAAACCAGACCGAGCTATTTATAGAGGGGTAATTGACTGCAGGATTAGCAGCTGGATTCTCGGGATGGGGTACACTTAGCTTGACCTACTCAGGAGAGGAAGAGACAGAGGTTTCTCGGATTAGAGGGCTTGGAGTTTAAAAAAAAAAATGCATCTTCGTGTTTTACTTAAATGATTTTGTAGATAGGTTTTCGGTTTTCTTGTCCCTTTGAACTTCTATTACTGTATTTGAAAAATGATTAATATATTTGAATAGGGATACGGAGTTAAAGCTACCAGGTTTATACCGTATATTTGAGGGGAAAAAATTAGTTTTACAGACCTAATCGGTAAGCATTGTTTTCCCATAAATGAGATGTTGATTTGTGAGGTTTTTGACAGCAAGTAACTGGAAGTAGGGAACTGCTGTGCTTTGGGATACATTTATATAATCAGTTAACATGGTAAAGTAACTAGAAGACACTTAGCATGTACAGAGTGGTGTGACAGCTACTTTTTAAAGTGCTTTAAAAATGTTTAGGACTTGAGATGCAGAGGCAGATCTTTGAGTTTTGGAGGCCAACATGGTGTTAATAGACAGTTCCATTCGGTCTTGAGCTACATAGTGAGAACCTGTCTCAAAAAAAAGACCCCCCCCCAAAAAAAAAAAAAACTTAAGGTTATGGGGGATTGTGTACAGCAAAGTGAAAACTGGTGTTTTGAAGGGACAAAATTAAGAGAAATCATAGATACTGATTTGAAGGGATGAATACTTGACATGCTATTGGAGAAATTTCAGTACTATTGAAAACTTGAGACTCTTGAAACTATTAGTGTTTGGTGCTAAATGAGAAGGTTATTAAAAGCAAAAACATCAAATCCCAATTTTCAAAGTTGTTTCAGAGGATGAGTACACAGGCCATTCTGGTAATCTGTCACTGATTCTTTAAAGCAAATATGAAGTAAAATTTTACTACTATCAGTTTCATTTTTATTGTTGTATTTGAAAGAATATTTGAGTTTTAAAAGATTTTAGAAGTTTGTGAGTCGCACGCCTTTAATCCCAGCACTCGAGAGGCAGAGCCAGGTGGATCTTTGTGAGTTCGAGGCCAGCCTGGTCTACAGAGCGAGATCCAGGACAGGCCCCAAAGCTACACAGAAATAATGTCTCAAAAAAAAAAAAAAAAAAAGAAAAGGAAAAAAAGTGTGTGGTAGTCATAGTTTCAAAGTTAACATTCAAGGACAAGGAACATTTCTCAAATTGATTAGAGAGAAAGAATAAAGAGTTGAGATGTGCAGAATCAAATTTCAAAGGAAGAATATGGAATCCCATCAGTTGTGGAATGTATCTTGTATATGCTTTTTTTCAGTGAGACTCCTGGACTAAATTATTTTTCTTGTTATTTTGTGATTGTCTCAATGTGTAGTCCTGGCAGCTGACTTGGCTCTCAATACCTTGCTCAAGGTGGCCTTGAATTTACAGCAATCTTGTCAGAACCCCGAAAGTGCTGAGATTATACAGTAATCACCATACGCAGATCTGAACTAAATCATTTTAAAATCATTTGGTATCATCCATCAATATTTGAGATTGAGAAATTGTCAACACTAAGGAAATTTACATATATACTCTACCTTCACTTTCAACTGCTGCCCAGTAGGAAGCAAGTTGAATTTGCCCTCACTGTAGTAAAGTTTGTCCAGCTGTTCTTGAATCCGTTTCAAAACGTACTCAGCTAAAGTACAACTTAAGCAGTTCTCTTAGAACCATTGCCAGTGGAAGGAATGAATCTTTCTCATCCCAATCATCAGTGGAAACCCTATCATTAATGAGCAAACTGGAAACAAAACCTGATCTGTAAGTGTTATGTAGTTGTGCTGGATGTGTTTACAAGTCTGATAGGCTAACACTTAAGGAAAAGAGTCAGATAAAAGTGGAAATGTCAAAGTGAAAATAACTGGAAAAGAATTACTTTTTATTCCTCCCCCCTTCTTATTTTGGACATTCTTACATTTCAGTTTTGGCTTTCACTCCCACCAGTGACCAAAGACTTGACCACTCAAAGTCCAGCTCCCTGTAACTACTAGACATGGACACCGGTGTGATTGAAGGTGGATTAAATGTCACTCTCACCATCAGGCTACTTATGCATGGAAAGGTATGCACCAGCTTGAAAAATTGGGTCATAGTAGCTGCTACTGGAGGGGCCAGGAAAAGCAGACAAGCATCTTGGAGCTCATCAGATTAGCACTGTGGGACATCTGGCTTTAGCACTCTTCTCTAATGGAGTGTGGTGAAAAAATGGACAGCTTTTACTAGGAAGCCTCAGTGAGCAAGAAAGATTTAAGCAGTTGAAGCCAAAAAACAGTCCTCGCTGACTGGTAAATCATTCTGATGTATGTTGTAGCCTATAATTTCAGGAAGGAAGATTTTTTTGTTTTTTATTTGGTGGTATGGGAGATTGAACTGAGGGCCTCTAGATAAACACTACCATTGAGTTATATCCTCAGGCCCTATTTTGCATATTACACAGGTGTGGTATTTAATCACTCTGATGATTCTCAATTCTTTGGTAGCTTCAATATGAAATTTTGTGCAAGGAAATGAATAAGTGCTTCCCCCCCATGAATTTTAAGATCTTTTTATTTCTTTGGGTTGGTAATTACCATAGTTAGCAGTTGGTTAGCTTAGAATTTTCTTTTTATAATGATGAACTCTGAATTTCCCGTTACCAATACTTAGTTTTCTTCATTGCAGGAAGTTGGCAGTATCATTGGAAAGGTAAGATTGTTCCATTTCAACGCTAATTACTATTTAGTCAGTCTGGGCTGAAATAGTTGGAGCTCATGCTTGACTTTTCCTCTTACAGAAAGGAGAATCTGTTAAGAAGATGCGCGAGGAGGTGAGTTACAAGGAACATTGGGATTTGCTAACCTTGGAAAACCCTGAAAAAGTTCTGTATGAGAGAAGCAGGATAGAGCTCAAAGGGGGAAACATTTTCTGGTTAATTTGTAATGACAAATAGTATGATAGGAAATGGGTTTTGTGAAAAGTCCCCAAAACATAAGATACAGTAAGTTGTTTGAAGACAAGTGGATTAGTATTTCAAATTGTGTTATGTAGGCAGCTTCTTGCCTGTGTTATCTAGGACAGGCTATCCTGTACAATTTCAGTTCTTTTTATCTTTTAAAACTACTTGTTTCTTTTTTCTTTTTTTATCCAGAGTGGTGCACGTATCAACATCTCAGAAGGGAATTGTCCTGAGAGAATTATCACTTTGGCTGGACCGACTAATGCCATCTTCAAAGCCTTTGCTATGATCATTGACAAACTGGAAGAGGTTTGTTGTTCATTTAAGATTGCCCCATACCAGACATAAAGCAAAACCAAGGTCAAAACCTTGTTAAATAATTGAACTATACCCTCAGCCACTGCCGGTTTTTTTATGTATAATTTTTTATGTTCATTGATGTTTTGCCCAAGTTTACATCTGTTTGAGGGTGTCAGAAGCCTTGTAGCTGGAGTTACAGATAGGTGTGAGCTGTCAATGTGGGCTCTGGGCAATTGAACTAGGGTCCTCTGGAAGAGCAGCCAGTGCTCTTAACTGCTGAGCCATCTCTCCAGCCTCCCTTCCCCTTTGGAGGTTTTTATTTTGGTATTTTTATTTATTGAGAAAGTGTCTAGTTTTGTAAGTCTGGCACTACTAGTAGTCCAAGATGCCGTTCAGCACTGAGTCACCTTCCTGAGTGTTGGGATTGCATAGAAATGTGTATCACCCTTTCCACCTCTGTCATTTAAAATTTTCTCACTGATTGTTTTGAAGGTGTGCCTTTGCTTCCTTGATAGTTTCACAGCTGAATGAACTTAATGTGGTTTTTATTAGGGTCCTGCCAAACACCGGTACATTTTGATTTTAAACAGGCAGATACTGATAATATTGTATTAAAAGTTAGAGGTAAAGCCCTCGGTTTCTTTTTTTCCCTCCTTGGTTTTTCAAGACAGGGTTTCTCTGTGTAGTTTTGGTGCCTGTCCTGGATCTCACTCTGTAGACCAGGCTGGCCTCGAACTCACAGACATATACCTGACTCTGTCTCCTGAGTGCTGGGTTAAAGGCGTGTGCCACCACTGCCCAGCCAAGCCCTGGGTTTCTAAAAGCAAAATAAGAATTACTGATTTTGTTGGAAGGAAGTTCTTTTTTCTTACCAACATTCAGGGGCTGAACAACTGCTATCCTAGGTCATGTGTTCAGTTTCCTCCTTCTCCTTGGCAGTAATGCCACTTCATTGTGCATTTGATGCCATAGGCAGAAGAGTGCTGTTTGGTTGGTACTTACTGCTCCTTGAAATCTTACCCTTGCCTGGGTCAGAAATGTTACATTTTGAACTGCAGGACCCTGTTCTGTTACTGCAGAGTTTGCAGCTTAAAAGAATGTTTAGAAATACATGCTATTATTCTTAAAGTAATAAGCTCTTAGCTTGGTGTGGTGATATACACCTTTAATTCTACCAGTACTGGGAAGGCAAATGACCAGCTCTGACTTCATATTTGAGACCCTGTGTCAAAAGGAAAAAAAAAAAGATTCTTGACTTCATAGGCTTGTATAAAAATAAGCAATATATACAACTCATTGGTTGGTACATGTAGATTAGACAGAGAAGGCCTTTTTAAAAAAATTTTATTTATATTTTACGCATGAGTGCTCTGCATGTATACTTGCATGCCAGAAGAGAGCATCTGATCCTATTGTAGATGGCTGTGAGTCACTGTAGTTGCTGGAATTGAACTCGGGACCTTTGGAAGAGCAGCCAGTGACCGCTGAGATTTAGAGCCCCTGCTTAGTGTCTTAACTCACTGATTTCATCAGAAAGCTAAACTGCCTTATGTACATAGTGAGTTCTAGGCCAGTCTGGACTACATAGTGAGACCCTGTCTTTATAGAAATTTTGAAGCTAGGTGGTGGTGGTGCACCTTTAATCCCAGCACAGGAGGCAGAAGCAGGCGAATCTCTTGAGTTTGAGGCCAGCCTCAGAGTGACAGGATAGCCAGGGCTACACAGAAAAACTCTCAAAAATATTTTTAAAAGTGAATAAATTAAAATAAATAAATTAAAATTTTTTTGGAGGGGCTGGTGAGCTGGCTCAGCAGGTAAAGGCACTTGCCCCCACACCTGATAGTATTGGTTTAGTCCTTGGGACCCACATTGTGGAAGGAGAGAACCAATTTCCACAAACTGTTTTCTGACCTGCACATATACACTGTAAGCTAAAGGTGATAACAATAGACAATCGTGTGGTTTTGGATACAGTGTATTAGGAAGCCTTTGATCAATACAGGGTTTTTGTTTGTTTTGTTTTGCTTTGTTTGCTTGAGTAGAACCATGCTTATTGTGGACAGCTTCTTTTTTCTTTGCTTTTGAGGCAGAGTTTTTTCTCTGTGTAGCCCTGGCTGTCCTGGAACTTGCTCTGTAAACCAGGCTGGCCTCAAACTCAAGAGATCTGCTGCCTCTGTCCCCCAGCGCTGGGATTAAAGGGTGCACCACAGTGCCTGGCATGGACTCCTCCTATAATTGGTCTCTTGCCAACCCCTCAATGCCATTTCAAAGCATTTTAGATATAATACTTGGTTTCATTGTTTTTATAGTGCTTTATATTTATATTTTCAATAAAATGGCTATGGGAGAAGTTGAAATCTTGAGATTGAGTGTAGCTCATGGCAGAGTGTTTGGTAAGCATATAGGAGTTCTAGCTCTGAAAAAACAAAATACAGACATTAACTCATTTTAACTTTCTAGTATTGATTTTGTAAGAGGACATTCAGGTTGAATTTGGTTGCATTGTTTCGTGTATTCATATTTGATTTAATTTTGACAATTTCCCCCTCTTGCTTTTTTGGGTATATGTAGATGCATGTGAGTGTGATTGTGCATGCTGCAGGGCCAAAGAGAGGATATCAGATATCTTCTATTGCATTCTTCCTTACAGCTTTGATACCTGTCTCTCACTGAACTGGAATCTTGTCAGCTTTCCAGTTTCTTGGGTACTTCTGTTTCCAAACCCAATGGTGGGATTATAGGCATGCACAGCCATACCCAGCATTTTATGTGGGTGCTGGGGATCTGAACTGATTCAGGTCCTTATTGATCATATAGCAAGCTTTCTTTACCCGATGAGCCATCGCCCCAGTCCTTTTGGTTTCATGCATACTAGACAGATGCTTTCCCACTAAATTACATTTGTAATCCAAATGGAAGGAAGGTCAGCTTGGCTTGTTAGAAGTGTTGCTTTTCTCTGTACTGTTGTGGTAAAGAAAAATAGGGCTATGGTTGCTTCTGCAGTTCTTTTTCTGTTTTGTGTTGCTGCAAGGGATCCATACCAGGGTAAGCATTCTGTCCATGACAAGTTCCTCAGTCCTGTTAGATTTGGAAAGATGGGTGAACATGTTGTGGTTTTGTGTCTCCTGCTGGCCTGTAACTCTGGCTCTTACTTACCTTTTCTTTCTGAGTGCTGGATTATAGGCAGTGCTACCACATTGGGCTCAGAAATTGTAATCTTCACTTAGTTTGGTATAGTTAGGATACATGTATGTCCATTACAAGTCCAGGAGTGATTCTTCTATGTACTTTGAACTGTGTTTATATGCTTATTTATCTTTTTGGTGTTCTGAGCAATTTTCTTTTTTTTTTTTCTTTTACAGGACATAAGCAGCTCTATGACCAATAGCACAGCTGCCAGTAGACCTCCAGTCACCTTACGGCTGGTGGTCCCTGCTAGTCAGTGTGGCTCTCTCATTGGAAAAGGGGGGTGCAAGATCAAGGAAATAAGAGAGGTTGGTGCCCCTCCCCCCATGTCTGTTAAGTCTGTTAAGAACTTCTTTCTTTTTTTTTTTTTTTTAAAGTCTTGTTTGGCCTATTTAGACCAGGATCTCTGAGAGCCTCCAGCCTCTGTCTCCTGAATGGGTGCATCATCATACCCATACCAGATTGTGTTATAACTAGAAAAGGTTAGCATTTGATATAAAGGTTTAAGCTGGGCTTGGTGGTGGTTCAGGTCTGTAATCTCAGCTACATAGGAGACTGCAAGTTCAGGTCTTGTCTTTGCTGTAAAGTCCAAGGCCAGCTTACTGGGGCAATTTAGGAGAGATCTAAAAAATACAAGATGGAGCCAGGTGTGGTGGTGCTTGCCTTTAATCCCAGCATTTGGGAATCAGGCAAAAGGGTCTTCTTGAAGTCAGCATGATCTACATAATAAGTTCCAGGCCAGCCTGGGATACATGGTGAGACTCAGTTTTTTTTTTTTTTTTTTTTTTTTTTTAAAAGTGGGATTAAAAAGGGGTATTTGGATTTGGGTCTAGTGTTTAGTAGTTGCTTAGCATGTCTGTGGCCCTAGGTTTAACCTCTGATTACAGTCCATGAAGACTGTAATGTGATGATAATTTTTTAAAAATTCAATTCTTATATTTCATTTTTGTGGTGTCCAAGGTAGATACCCAGGGCCTCACAAATGCTAGGTGGATGCTGTTCCATTGAGCTACATCCTAGTGCACTATTCCCTACTCTCCTTACTTTTTATGTTTTTTTGATTTTTGTTTTGTTTTTTCAAGACAGGCTTTCTTTGTGTAGCTTTGGAGCCTGTCCTGGAACTCACTCTGTAGACCAGACTGGCGTCGAACTCACAGAGATCCTTCTGCCTCTGCCTCCCAAGTACTGGGATCAAAGGGATGTGCCACCATCAGCTGACATCCCCTTTATTTTTAACATAGTAACTCCTGTGTTACTAGCCTGGAACTTCTAAATTTATTAGTAATCTTGCCTCAGCCTCCCAAGTACCTTGGACTACCATACAGCCTTTGCCTGGTTCAGTAATGAGAATATGAGAGTGTTAATTAGAATTTCTAGCTTTTTGCATATAGTTACCATTTTATTTTTTGGGGATTTTTTTTGGGGGGAGGGGGCTTTGAGATAGTGTTTCTCTGTATAGCCCTGGCTGTCCTGAAACTTTATCTGTAGACCAGGCTAGCTTCAAATTCAAGGAGATCTGTCTGTCACTGCCTCCCGAGTGCTGGGATTAAAGGCATGTGCCACCAAGCATGGCTCATTCATTATTTTTTGAGATAAGGTCTGTCTAGCTGTGATTGGTCTGGAATCGAGGGATCTGTCTGTTTCTGTTTTTTGATTGCTGGGATTAAAAATGGGTGTCACCGCAGGGCACTGGTGGTGCACACCTTAATACCAGCACTCGGGAGGCAGAGCGAGATCCAGGATAGGCACCAAAGCTACACAGAGAAACCCGTCTCAACCCCCCCCCCAAAAAAAAATGGGTTTTACCACATCCCATTTAGTGTGCCACTACCCCCCCCCTCCGCCCCCCACTTTTTCCCATGAGACAGATTTTTCTGGCCCAGCTGTTAAGTTAAGCCTCCAAGGATTCTCCTGTCCCATCTCCCTAGCTTTTTTTATACATGTTCTTGGGGTTCCCCCCCCAAGACAGTGTTTCTGTGTAGCTTTGGAACCTGTCCTGGATCTCGCACTGTAGACCAGGCTGGTCACGAACTCACAGAGATCCTCCAGCCTCTGCCTCTCGAGTACTGAGATTAAAGGCGTGTGCCACCACTGCCCAGCATGTTCTTGGTTTTGTGCTGGAAAGCACTGTTATAGACTGAGCCATTTTCCTTAGGCTACCCCCCCACCTCCATTAATTGTATTTAGTACATAAGTTCACATGCATGCATACTCGTCAGAGGACATGAGGTGAGGGGGTCACTTCTTTATATTCTGCCGTGTGGGTTCACTGGGATAGGTTGGTAGATTTAGTGGCAATTGCCTTTACCTACTGAACCACTAAACTTTTTTTTTTGTAATTATTTATTTTGATTTTTTTGAGGCAAGGTTCCTGGAACTCACTCTGTAGACAAGGCTGACCTCGAATTTAGACCCTCCTGCCTCTGTCTCCTGAGTGTTGGGATTAAAGTCACAAGCCGCTGAGCCTGGGTTGTAGATTTATTTTAATTATGTATACGTCTCTGTGTGACTGTTTGCATGAAAGTGAAGGTGCCCTGGAGCCTAGAAGACAGTTCTGCATTCCCTGGGGCTGGAGTTTCATTTGGTTGTGAACAGACTTACGTGGGTGCTAGGAACTGAATTCAGATTATCTGTAAAAACAATAGAAGCTGTAAACAGCAGAGCCATTTCTCTAGTCCTGAAATAATAATAAAAAAAGATTTATATGTATGAGGTTTTTGTTTGCATGTATGTATGTACACCACATATATGGCAGTTGTCAGCGGAATTCAGAAGAGAGTAGAATCTCTTAAAATGGAGTTACAGAGAGTTGTGACTGACATGATGATGGGAACTAAATCCAGGTCCTCAGCAAGAGCAATAGATGCTCTTAACTATTCAGCCATTTTTCTTTTTTTTTTTTTTTTTGGTTTTTTCGAGACAGGGTTTCTCTGTGTAGCTTTGCGCCTTTCCTGGATCTCGCGCTGTAGACCAGGCTGGCTTCGAACTCACAGAGATCCGCCTGCCTCTGCCTCCCGAGTGCTGGGATTAAAGGCGTGCGCCACCACCGCCCAGCTCAACTATTCAGCCATTTTTCTAATAAGAGTTTTTCAGACTAGGTCTTGCTGTGTAGCTCTGGCTGTCCTGGAAACTCACTCTGTAGACAAGGCTGGTCTTGAACTCAGAGATCCCCCTGCCTCTCGTAACTAAAGGTATGCACAACTATACCTGGCTGAAACAATTTTTAAATCACATTTTATCTATTTGTGTTTGTGTATGTTCATGTGTGCTTTCAGAGGACAACTTGTAGGTCTCGGTTCTCTTTTTCTACCAAGTGAGTCCCCCAGGGATTGACTTTAGGTTGTTAGGCTTGGCAGCAGGCATTTTTGCCTCCTGAGCCATCTTGCTGGCCTCTAGTTTTTTTTTGTTTTTTTTTTAAAAAACAGTCTCTTTCCCATTTCTTTATCAACTTTTTCTTTCTTTTTGTTGGGGAGGGGGATGCTCTTGAGACAGAATTTCTCTGTGTATCTGGCTCTGCTGAAACTCTGTAGATCAGTCTGGTCTTGAACTCACAGAGATCTACCTACCTCTGCCTCCCAAGTACTGGGTTTAAAGGGATATACCACCAACATCTGGCTTTTTTTTTCTTTAATTCCCCCCCAAAATAATTTATTTATTATTATTTATGTGTATTGGTGTTTTGCCTGCAGGTATGTCTGTATGAGGGAGCCAGATCCCCTAGAATGGAGTTACAGACAGTTGTGAGCTGCCATGTGGGTGCTGGGACTTGAACCCGGTTCCAGTAGAAGTGCCGCCAAGTGCTCTCAATGTCTAAGCCATCTCCTCAGTCCCCACCCAACTTCTTTGTCAACTTTTCATGAAGTTTTTTCATGTCTAAACAAAATGTTACTAAATAGTTCCAAAAGGGAAACTAGTTTGAATTTTTTGAGTCTTTATACAGGATGGTTAGGAGTTTTAGGTGCAGGAGCATGTGTTTTTGTAGGTCATGGGAAGTGGTTTTGGTTTAAGTTTTTTTGTGACAGTGTCTTGCTGTATCCCAGGCTGGCCACAAACGTGTCAGATGGTTCTCCTGGTTTAGCTTCAGAGACTAGGTATGAGCAGCCAATTTCAGGGTTTGTTTTGATGATATATTTTAAGTACTTGGAATGGTGCCTGACACGGAATAGGATTGATGAAAATACTTGTTCAATAAGAATATGAAAGGTGAGTGTATTTATGAGAATTTTGTTTGGCCCACAAAGTTGTCATTATTAGGTAAGAGGAAATTGTTTCAAAGGGACTTTTTCCTGAGTGCAGGTTAAATGTAGGCCATTACTCAGTTTTATTCTTGTCTTTAGAGGTAATTTATTTTTAACTTTAGTAAGCAATTGTGTCTGGAATAAGGGAAGAAAGGGAAAAGAGAAAGAAAGGGGATAATAAGTATTGACTGAACATCACATTCTAAAGTTGCTGTTGTGAAGGTTTTAAGAACATAGTTTTTCTCTGATTTTTAATTTCCTTTTACCTTAAAGAGTACAGGGGCTCAGGTCCAGGTGGCAGGGGATATGCTCCCCAACTCAACTGAGCGGGCAATCACTATTGCTGGCATTCCGCAATCCATCATTGAGTGTGTCAAACAGATCTGCGTGGTCATGTTGGAGGTAAGCCCTCAGGCTCATGCTGGAGGTGGGGCTGATTGTGGGAACGGAGGAACTGATCTATATTTAGTGAGACTAGAATTAGGTGAAGCTGGGAGGCTATCAGTGGGGGTGGGTAAGAAGTTCTCTTGAGTTCATACTTGCCTTTTCCCAGTTTTGACTTATCTGTGGGCAAAAACAGGATCTATTAAGTAGTCTTGTGGTTCAGAACAATTCTAGTATCATGGATAGGATAAGATAGACTACAAGGACTTCAGATTTCTGAAACACTAACTGACCTTTTTAATTGCCTGACATTGACACGTTCTTTTATTTTTCATTTTGAAACAGGATATAGTCAAAACAATAGTTATGTGTCATAGAAAAAGTATCAATGGTGGTGTTTCTGAGTGAATTATGAAGTCCTGCTATATATTCTGTTGCAAAAAAAATGGAAATTAAATTTCTTTTGAGTTACATGGAGTTGAATCAAAAGAAAATGATCTTGCTTGTGTCTTTGAAACATATATAACATTTAGAAATTTCATATCCAACTTTGGTTTTTATTATTTATAAAAAAATGTGAGATCCTAAATATTATCAGCTAAAGTATATCTACAGATTGTGTGTGAGTTAAATTTATTTACAAGTGTGGAAATCATGACTAAAATTATTTCAGGACATCTTTGGTGAGAATTAGTATGAGCCATAATGCATGAAGTTTTTTGTTGCTTTAAAGACAAATAACGTCAGATATTTGAGATTATGTCTAATCAAGTACAACTTGATAATGGAGGGGATGGAAATATTTTTATTTAACTGACCTGTGTGTGCTATAGCCACACAGCTGAAGCAGCTTTGAAACCTTATCTCTTTTTGTTTTTTTCCCCTCTGACTCTCTCCCAGTCCCCCCCGAAGGGCGTGACCATCCCGTACCGGCCCAAGCCCTCGAGTTCTCCAGTCATCTTTGCAGGTGGTCAGGTAAGAGAATTCTTATTGGTGGGCTATAATGAACGAAGATTATATTTTAAATATCTACTTTGCCAGCAGCACACCAAGCTACTTTGCATGCTTGCTGAAAACCTGTACTTTTGGCCATAGTTTGATTTGCTTTTTTTTTTTTTTTTTTTTTGTACTGGAGAAAAATTTGAATGCCAAGACCTTTTTTTTTAGCAGGCAGTGGAAGTTTTGTAGACACTCAGAAGAGTAATTTAATTGATTTGGTAATTTAAGGTGGTTTGGGTTAGAGTTAAATTCCTTCAGTGTCATTATTTCTCTCCCTATGTCACCCTCCCATCCATGCTTTTTGTATGTGTGGGATGTTAGAGGTCTGAGTAATGATAGCAAAGAAGTTGGACCTCTGGAGATTCTGGAGGGTAGTCTCCAGTGGCATTGGGGGCATGAGGTGGCAGGGTCCTGAATTTGAGTGTCCTACAAACTTTCCCTCCCCTTCACCTCACCTCCCCTACTCCTACCCTTTCACCCCCAAACTCCAGTGTGTTATCCCCCAGACTCTTAACCTCATAAACACTGGTTTGAAACCCCATGGCATAATTGAAATCAACTGGAGTAAGAGGAGCATACAAGGATAGGATGGGGAGAGCATGCCGGACTCAAGTCTGAGAACACAACCAGAGCATTCTCTTGGTGCCTCTTCCTCACCAACCTAAACCTTTGACACATGGTTTATTCTAAAGTTAGGGCTGTGTGAGAAGACCACTGATAATGTCATGGTACTAGTGTATTTTGATGGTTAGTGTTTACTTTGAGTAATAATAGGCTTTTAGAATACTAGAATTCAGGTTGAAATAGTCACCTTCATTTTGGCAGGTGAAGGTACGTTGCTTAAAGTACCTTTCCCACTTGGAGCTGTCCTATTTAAAAACATCTATATTACACTATTACATTTATGTGTATTTGGTCTGAAAGTCATTTGAGAGGGGAAGTATCAACTTGGAGTCCATCTCATGTTTTATTGTTAATGTCTTGCTGAGAGCTTTCACAGGTAGTTACATTTCAGTCTTGTCTTGATGTGTTAGAACTTTGTTTAAACAGGTTTGTCACAGGGCTTTGACTACAAATAGTTGGCAGGATAAGCAGCAGCTCAGTCATTGTAGCCAGAGGGTTAGTCTCAGGAGGTCTCCCTTTTCCTGTGGGTGCTAGGCTGTGTCACCAGTCCTCTATTGCAATGTCTCCTTCCTCGTCACTCCTCTCCCTTTGGACCTCTCTGATTCCTTTCCCTCCCTCCCTCCCCTTACTCAGTTAACTGCCATCTAAAAGCTTGCAGCTTCTTCCATGAGTTGCCCTGTCATGGGTCATTCCCAAGGGCCTTTTTATAAACGGACAGTTCATACAGTGTCCACAGATGAACCTCTGTCTTTTGTGGCAAAGTGGGCTCTGTAGGGTTCAACTTCATCCTACAGTGACCACGACCTGGCATCAGCTGTTTCCTCACCCCTCACCTTACTGAAAAGAATCCAATTGTGCAGTGTCATCTGCCACTAGGTAACCTTTTTTTTTTTTTTAAATTCACTGATTACAGCTCGTTTCAAATCTGTGTTGTGAGCTCCCTTTTAAGGAAAAAAGAAAAAAAATAAACAACTTTTTTTTTTTTTTTTTTTTTTGGTGTGAATTTCATGCTGGTGACAAGGTGCCGGATTGACAGCCCTGGAGACTGAAACCCTCTATTTATCCACAGGACAGGTACAGCACAGGCAGCGACAGTGCGAGCTTTCCCCACACCACCCCGTCCATGTGCCTCAACCCTGACCTGGAGGGACCACCTCTAGAGGTGAGAGGGGATGTTCAGTCTCCAAGGCTCACTCAATCCTTCCGCCTCAGCCGAGACTGCCAACACACGGGGGGCCAGTGGCGCTGGTGATTTTTGTGCTGTGGACACCACCTGTCCACGGGGACCTGGACTGACCTCCCCACCTCATTTCACACAGGCCGCGTAGCCCACCAGATGGTAACACCAACTTTTTTTTTTTTTTTTCATTTTTTTTTTTTTTTTTTTTGTTGTTGTTCAATCCCTCTTTTCCCTCTCCCACTCCTCCCATCCCATTTTCACCTTCCCACCCCCACCTGGATGTGCTTTTGGGGGAATTAGCCCCTGTGACTGATGTGAGAAACTTCACATTCTATTAAGTAACCAGCCACTCCTTCCTTCCATCCCTTCTTTTTTTCCTTTCCTCCTTGTCCCCCCTCCCCCTCCCCATTACCTTGAAGACCCAGCTCCCTTTTGGGAGGATATGGTGTGGGGAGGAGGGCATAGTGGGGGCTGCAAGTGCCTTCATGCAGGGTGGGGGAGGGGAGACAGGACTAGTAAATTGATACCCCTCCACCCCCCAGTGCTTCTGTGGTCAGATCCCTAGTGTTAGAGACCTAGCTAGCTTCTAGTGAACTTAAGGTCTGAGGCAGTGTTTGAATACATGTGGTGCAGGTTTGTGTAGATACAAATCCTTCATATTAGCCAGTTTATCTTGAATTGAATACATGGGTGGGAAATTGGTCAGTTGAGTCATTGCTTTTATTTCATTTTCCATATTTTTGTTAAAAAACAGATATGTATATTTTGCCTTAATCAAAGAAAACTTGTATACCCTTTTAAGAGGATCCCTGGAATAAAGTTACTATATTTAGGGTTCAAAGAAGGCCAGGTCAGGTCTGACCATTTGTGAGATTCCCTCTACTGCCTCAATCTCCCTCCCCTTGTCTAGTTCAACTCTGGCTTCCTGGCTAGTTGAAAACTTGTCATCCCCACCACACTGGGTGGCTGTCCGTGATTGGTTTTTAATAGGAATTGTTTTCCTCCTTTTGTAGGCCTATACCATTCAAGGACAGTATGCCATTCCACAGCCAGATGTAAGTTTTGATTTTATTTCTTGTTTGAAAAACTCCCTCTCCATCCAAAATTGTCTTGATTCCTTTCTCCCTAGTAGACAGGAGTAAGTTGGGTCTTGAACATTTGCAGTGTTGTTACGGCTTACAAGGTGAACCACACATTATCAACTTGTTTGCCTTTGACTGTAACCCCTAGAAATGATCAGTTTATTAGTTTCTTTACCGTATTTCAGATTACTCTAAAAGAAATGTTCCATGGTGCACTACAATATCTTGGACCAATTCAAACTGTCAGTAAAGTGTGCTTCCCATTGCAGGATCGGGAGGTTGGGTTTGCCTTTCAACACTCCTCAGTCTGAGGTTACAAATTAGAAAAAGCATTGAGGGTTTATTTACATAGGGAAGCTAGAAAACTGATTGTTGGAATTCAACTCAAACTTTACTAAGAATCTCCTACTTAAAAGTACTGGTATTTAGATTTTTGTCCAATGACATTTTTTTCTGTATGCTTTCATCCTTACAAAATCCTTTCAGGTGCTGAGATTAGACTTGGAAAGTTGAGTTTGGTTCTTGGTTAGTGGTAGCCCCTAGGAGAGGTGTGAAGTAGACTGGAAGAGGGATTATTTTGTTACCAGCTAGGACAATTATCTATGTGTATTACAAATAAGATAGTTGGGAAAATATTTGTTGGGGATGAAGCCCAGTTTGGTTTCTTGTTAAGCTTCTCTCCTCCTTGCAGTCTCCCTGCCCCCCTCGTCTCCTTCCCTTTTCCCAGTTCTGGTGGACCCTGCATGGTGTGTTTCCCTTAGCACCACTGCACAGCTTGTTTATCTAGCCTGTCTGTGCTTGTCCCTGGGGGAACCGTTGGCAATGGCTGCGTACACCTTCATTAAACAGTCCACAGGGGATGGTCATTGGGGTGGTGTTACTGCTTTCCTTTTCATATACCCCAAATGCATTCATTCTTGTATACTGACATCCTTTCTATTTCTAACCCTTACCTATCATACTCTGCCTCTCCTTTGGATTGTACTGTAAGCCCCAATCTTACTCTGTGTTACAGTTGGAGTAGTAGAGTCAACTTTGGGGGTCAGGAGCTGTGTACATTTCACGTCTGGATGTGCTTAAGTTACCCTTCTAATGCTCCTCTCCTGTTTTCCTTCCTGTAGTTGACCAAGCTGCACCAGTTGGCAATGCAACAGTCTCATTTTCCCATGACCCATGGCAACACTGGATTCAGTGGTATGGACATCTCAGTGTTTATTTTTGTAAGGTGTAGTACAAGATAGAGGCCAGTGCCAAGGTCTCAGCTTGACAAGTGTTTAAAACAAACTTCATTGTCATCCAGCATCTGCTGGTATAAACTTGACCTACTATGGCTAAAGGAGGTAATGTGTTTGTTAACAAGATTTTCATTTGGGGTGAGTTAATTACAAAAGAATAAAAAGCCCTGGAAGATTTGGGGTGAGGTCTGGGGATGCTAGTGAGGAAAGGGGTAGGCTGATATTTCTAGTAACCCTTCCTTATAGTGGCCACCTTGATCTGATTAGCATCCCCTTTCTCTCCACCAGGTGTTCATAAGACTTGGGTAGAGACAATCCATTTGTTCCAAATTATGTAGTGTATTTTTGTTTTTGTTTTTGTTTTGTTTTGGGGCTTTTTTTTTTTTTCTGTATAAGGAATAACTTGTCCGATAGGGTTAGAATGAGACCACCAAACTCATTTTCACTTGTATCTTAACAGGCATTGAATCCAGCTCTCCAGAGGTGAAAGGCTATTGGGGTAATGATTAAAAAAAAAAATCTGTAGTATTCTACTGTTATATTAATAAACTGGTGGGAGTCATGTTTCACTGCCCATAAACCATACCAGCAACATGCACATGGCAGAGAGGAGCTGAGATAGCAAAGGGGTGGGCATGGTGCCCCTGAGGGTCCCTTGATGGATCTGGCCAACCACCTTCTAAAATGTAGTTGAGAGCAGGACTAGAATTGTTAAGGGTTAGCCAGTTGGAATGGCCCAATCCTGATGTTCTTATGGATGGGTAGGGGTGTTTATGGTGGGATTTTTTTTCTTTTTCTTTTTTTCTTTGGAAAACCAAATAAAAGCCAGAACAATTAGAACAAAAGACAGAATAAATCTGGAGAAATAAACTTCCCTCAAACTGATTGCCATTTTATCTATTTGATCTTTAAGTCTAGCTTGGTAGGATAGAGGTGGAGGGTGTTACTCTGATACAGGTATAATTAAAGCAACTCAGTGTATGTGCCAAGAGTCTATGATACCCGGTAACAGGAATGAAACTGGCACTGATTCTAGTGAGCATTGGATGAAGTAAAATCAGGACACAGCAGTAATCTTAATCAGAACAGGGGTAGATGTATAGAAGCTTTGGTGTTTAGATTTTGCTCCTGTTTAAGAATACCACTCTTTGCCCCTTGTTGTCTCCCTACCTGTTAGTCTGGGCTTTGCAGGAAATGGCATGAAATCAGCTCTTCTGATTGTGTAGAAGAATCTTTCCAGCATTATTCCAATACCCGCTCCCATCTTTCCTCCTTGGAGGCTTCAGAGTTAGTGATGAAACCCAACAGCCAATGCTGTGTTTCCAGTTTATTTCCTTCTGTTAGTTTAATGTGCAAATCACTGATTCTGAATTCTGTGCATTAAACTTTCTTGCTCTTTTCTGTCTTTTAGCAGGTTTGGATGCATCTGCTCAAACTACTTCTCATGAACTCACCATTCCAAACGATGTAAGTATGAAGTATGTTAGAATTCTGAGGAAATCCTTGCTAGAGAGAATTGATAGAATTAACTGTTACACTTTTCAAACACAGAACCTCCTACTATCCTGTAGAAATTATTTGCCTTTCTCTTAAAGCATCTAGAGACCTGTTTCCCCCAAAAGAGCATCCAACTTAACCGTGCTTTGGGAGCAGAGATGATGTCGGGATGAATTTTCATGACCCAACACTTTTATTTATTCCTAGCTATCTCGTTAGATTCATTATCAGTATTGTTCTGGTTAATTTTTCTTTGGAGTGGAGGCAGTACTATGGGAATAGAAACAAAAACTAATGGGCTGAGAAATTGGCTTGGAGTTGACCTTGATTTGTAGTTAATCACATGAATGGTTCAGGAATTGAAGTGGGAACCCATAATTGAAGGTTTTGATAGCAGTATATCAGAAGATCACAGAGTGCAATTTAGGTACAAAGTGTAGAAATTGGTTGGTGTGTATGTAGACTTGTGTGTACCTGTTCAACTCTTAATTTGGTGTGCTTTTTTGTTGTTTGTTTCTCAAGTTAATTGGCTGCATAATCGGGCGTCAGGGCGCCAAAATCAATGAGATCCGTCAGATGTCTGGGGCGCAGATCAAAATTGCAAACCCAGTGGAAGGATCTACTGATAGGCAGGTCACCATCACTGGATCTGCTGCCAGCATTAGCCTGGCTCAGTATCTAATCAATGTCAGGTAAGCTAGACCTGTCTTTACCTTCATTAATGTCAACACAGTAGTGAGGGAGGTTGTTGCCATCTAGAAATAAGTGTGGGTTTACTTGAGGTGGATACAGATTGCAAAAGTTACCCGCCCCCCCTTTTTTTTTTCTCTTGAGCTCTGCTTCTGTCTTTAGCAGAGAAAAATAGCCAGATTGGGGTTTTATAGATTGCTTGCTTTTTGCTTTTGATGTTTTGGACAGTGGAAAGGGTGGCAGTATATGTTTTTGCTGAACAGGACAGTGCCCTAGCAATAGCAGATACACTGAAACACAGTTGTATTTATTTTACTCGTTTCACAAATCTTGTAGACAGGTCATTTCAGTTCAAAGCACCTTGAATTTTAGGGATAATGAGACATCTAAATAGCTTCTTGGAGGTAGCTGTTACCATTTACTCTGCAAACATTTCTCAGGTGACAAGTGTGTCCCTTCATTTGTGGGGAAACAAGAAGTGCAGGCTCCAGATACTGCAGGCATATTTTTATCTCCTGTTCCTCACCCCATTCTCATACATCTGCAAGTGACTTCCTAAGGTTTTATCTCCCTATCCGTGGGTACTGTTGCTGCACTTTCAGTTGTAGGGCAATTGTGTGTAGTCAAATGAGCATCCTATTGGGTGTTTGCTTTCCTAGCTCTGCCTCAGTCACATTGTTGATAGCAGTCCATTTGCAAAGGGACTCAGTCTATCTTTTTATGGGAAGAAGGCTTTCTCTGTCTTGTATTTATTCTCTTGCACATTAAAATTAACAATTCTTGAATCTAGTACTTAAGAAAGGAATTCATGAATATGAAGTCTATATTCATGTTATACATGTACCTATGTATTTATACCAACCAGAGTTTTCAACCCTAGTTGAAAACATTGTCAATTCCCCTTGAGCTACTGCAGTTCTTCATATAGAAAGGACTGTATCTAGACATTTTTGTTTTACTACTACACCAAGTTTTTATGTTGAGTAAAATAGTAGTTAATCTTATAGACCCTGTTAGTTAAAGACTTTTGTTTCTAGTTCCTATTGGAGGGAAATTTTATATGGCAGAAACAATGCTCTTGGAATCTAGAAGTTGTTAGCTTCTGCTTGGGGTAAGGTTACCTTGAATGAGATAGTTCAAATTACAACTTTAAATTTGAACTTCCTGACTGGTGTTTTTAATAAATTCATGTCTACATTGTAAGGAAGCAGAACTTCACTACTTGAAGTAACTGCAGAATTGTTTTAAATTAAACTGGTGAGTGAAACTATCTGAACTATGGATTTGGATCAGAACTTTTTTTTTATTAATAAAGCAGAGCTTTATTAACCAATCATAGCAACACATATTCACAGTGCATAGAAAGATATCCCACAGCACTTCCGCTTTTCTGTCTAATCAAAAAGGAAGGTTTCAACTTTAGCATAGTAAAATTACATATAACAAAACAGTTATCAAGCAAAAATTACAATTACAGTATCTAGTCTATTTGTATTTGGCAAAATTAAAGAAAATATTTTTGGATCAGAACTTTTTGTTTTTTTTTTTTTTGGTTTTTTTTTTTTTTTTGTTTTTTTTTCGAGACAGGGTTTCTCTGTGTAGCTTTGGAGACCAGGCTGGCCTCGAACTCACAGAGATCCGCCTGGCTCTGCCTCCCGAGTGCTGGGATTAAAGGCGTGCGCCACCACGGCCCGGCTGGATCAGAACTTTTTAAAGCCTTATCACCAGTGCCAGGATATGTACAAATTTTATTTATTTATTTATTTATTTAACCTTCTCTTCTTGGCTCAGTTTGAATGAAAAAAACCAAACTGATTTTGTTTTCATTATTGGCTCCAAAGCATTTCTGCTGGGCCGGCTGAGCTTTTTTCATAGGGTTCTTTGTCTTTGTGGCTCATTGCTGTGGTAATTCCTTACGGACTGAAATGGCCCTGAACAAGCTAGACAAAATGGAGTTAGGAGGAGTTTCCTGCCCTTGGAAGTGGCCATGCGGGAGTTTGTCTCATCTCAGTAAATATCTGATCCTGGCTTAGATAAGGAGGGGGGGAGCACTGTAGGAATAGCAGTGCATTATTTTTGTTTTTAAACACAAAGGATAGTAGTACTTGAGTTTTTACAACTTTAAAGACTAGGAATGATCATTTAAAATGAGACAACTCCCCACCAGGAAAGTTTCCCTGAGTCTTATCCACATTTGTTTTTAGCATTTTTTTGAAAATGCTACATTCTTTCAGTTTGTCTAGGCAGTGACCTGCTTTGGACTCTGCCTCCTTCCATTGTAATATTTTGGTTCATTTGCTGTGAAGATATAAATAGACTTTAATATTTAATAACTACAGGAAAAAATGCTCTTTTTAGGCATGCATGGTGATTCTTAACAGTAATCCTAGCACTGAGGAGGCTGAGGCAAGAGGCTCTAGTTCCAAGCCAGTCTGAGCTACACAGGAAGACCCTGTTTGAAATTTTTTCAATAGCTACAATGTAACATGTAATGTTTCTTAAGTAATTGTTGAATAATTGATCCTTCATTTAAACTGAAAACTAGTAATTTGGTTGTATGAAATTTTTTTGTTTACAAGGTTAACTCTTTGAAATTACAAGTTTTTTTTTCTTTTACTTTTTCTTTTTTTCTTTCTTTTTTTTTTTTTTTTTTTAATAAAACACTTATAGGGGCTGAACTAAAAGTTCTTTGTGTATGTTAGGTAATTCCCAGCCATCTTGGTCTTCTTTTCTTTTGAAAGAGGATCTTAAAGTTGCCCTTTAAACTCTCTATGTAGCCCAGGCAGGCTGTGGACTTCTGATGGTTTCCCCCAGCCTCCATAGTTAGCTGGGCCACCAGGCCTGGCCTCTTGATTCTGGTTTCTGGGTTGGGTCAGTAGATGACACTTGGAAGTATGTGCTCTATATGATTCCTTTCCTCAGTCTTGCCAGCTGGGTCTTTACCAAAGTAGTTTTAAATAGCAGTGTATGTGGGAGGGAAGGTGATAGACAGATATTTAGAGGGGTGGGCCACAAACTAAAAGAGTTTGTTTAAATTGATATTAGAGTTCCTAGTTGGCAAACAAAGGCACTTACTGATAGAACTGAAGCGGATTTGTCCTGTACTTTGTCCCTATTGTGGTCTTCCCTTCCACCCACCCTTTTTTTTGTTCCTTTTTTCCTCTGTTACAGTTTAGAAAACGCTAAACCCTCCTCCCAGGCAGCCTCCGTCACGATCCCTGATCACCTCAGCATCAACCTCTCTCAACCCTCCACCCCTTCTTCTTCTTCTTCCTCCTCCACCACCACCCCCTCGCTCGCCACAGCGGGGACTTCCGACGCACCCTCCAGCCTCCCCAACCCTCTTCCGACCGCCCCTTGTGTCTCCAGTCTGCTTGGCATGAAACCCATCCCTCTCCTGGCTCTAAATGTTGTGTCTGCTGCTAAGGGTACCGGGGCTTCAGCTACCACCACCACCACCTCTACTGTGCCATGTGTAACTAACAAACTGAAAGGGGAGAAACAGAGATTCTCTCCCTACTGAGTGCATATCTTGGCACCTCCTCAAATGTTGGTTCATTTTGTTTTTCTTTGTTAACATTGATGAGAACCAAACTATTGTGAGCTTGTGACCATTTTCTTTTTACTACTTTGGGGGATGACTGGGTGGGGGTGGGGATGGGTAATTCTTGTTTAGGTTTAGGTCTTTACAGCTCAGTGCCTGTTTCAGAGTCTGACCTGTTGATTGAAATCTTTATCTAGAGCCACAGTTCTTTCTCTCTCTCATTCTGTTATACTTTTTTGTAGCTTTATTCTGCCTTGCAATATATAAACAATGTGTTAGGCTCTGTGTTGATGAATAAAAGCTTCTCCGTTAAGCCTTTCTTTTTTTTTTTAACCTTTAAATTACTTAATGGTTAAGCTGTCAGCTGGCCTTCTTGGCCAGATCTGTGTCTCTAGTTATAATAAAGTTGCCACAGTAAGAACCGTAGCTCACCGTGTGATGTGACGGGAGAAGGGGTGTGGGGACTTGTGATCTGTGCCTTGTAGGCTTGGATGGCTGTACAGCCTACTTGGGCCTTTTTGTATCCCACATGAATTTTGTAACCCTTTGTCCATATTCCCAAATAGAAGGAAGGTCCTTCAGTAGTTTCAGTACTGATGAGTCTTCATGATTACCCAGAAGCTTTTAGTCTAGCACAGCTTTCTTTATATTAACACCAGTCAGGAACAAGGGTGTCCTTGTCTAGCTCTTTTCCCCTGGTGAGAGTGGTTATTTCACAGGCAGACATAGAATTGACTTCTGTACCCATAATAATGGGCAATGGTCAGTGTCAAAAGTTAGGTAACTTTTGTCTATTTCTTTAATGGGTTCATTAAATATCCTTCTGTGATATTAGGAAGGACTAATAGATCTGAGTGTGTTGAATCAACTACTAATTGATTGGGCAAGTTTGCTTATCTTCTATTTCCGGCCTACCCTTCTCTCTCACTAGCAACACTATCACGAGTGAGGGGTAATATGCTTAGATTTGAATGATAAAACTGTTCTGTATCAGGAAAGAAAAAAGAAGCCCCAAGAGAATATAAACTTTATGACGTGGGTGATTAGCTGTGCTGTGCTTTTACACAGTGGTGTGCTTAGTTCCTGATGTTTACCTTTTTCTTTTTTACTGGGGCTTGATCCCAGGACCTTGTATGGTGGGGTTTACCAGAGGTAAATCCCAACCATTTGTTTTTTGTTTTGTTTTTTAATCAAAATGAGCTACAGGTCTTTTCCACAAAAGAGAGAAATGATGTGCTAGGGCTGAGGATTCCAGCTTAGGCAGTGGTAAGATATTTGCTGCACCCTACCACTAAAGAACAAAAGGGAAGAGAAATGTATTTCATATAGTGAAATCATATTTGATTTTTTCCCAGTCAACCAAGGTTCATATCTTCACTGGTGGCAGTGGCGATTTTAGATATATTTTTTTTCCCTTGATGGCCTTTCCCAACATCCTTAGAGTGAAATTGAACAACATCAACATCATCAGAAAGACATTGCTGCTCGTGCTTATTACATTACCTTTCAGTCTCTAGTGTTATTGTGGCTGCTTTATTCCAGATTGGCCTTACACATTTGTGTTCACCATACCCAGATCTGGGTCTGGATGTTAGCTATGTCCTATGTTGTGTGGTTCAACTCTTTCTATAGTTGAAATTTACCATGCTGATAATTGTCTCCATTGGGATTTTATTTTATTTTATTTTTATTTTTATTTTTTTTTTGGTTTTTCGAGACAGGGTTTCTCTGTGTAGCTTTGCGCCTTTCCTGGAACTCACTTGGTAGCCCAGGCTGGCCTCGAACTCACAGAGATCCGCCTGGCTCTGCCTCCCGAGTGCTGGGATTAAAGGCGTGCGCCACCACCGCCCGGCGGGATTTTATTTTTAACTTGATCTTGTCTGTTGGAAGGCCTCTTTTTGAGACAGGGTTTCTCTCTGTAACAGCCCCTGGCTGGCCTGGAACTAGCTCACACTCTGTAGATCAGGCTGGCCTTGAACTCACAGACATCCGCCTGCATCTGAGTGCTGGGATTAAAGGCATGTGCCACCACCACTGGACTGGAAGGCCCTTTAATCTAACAAATATCTCTGATAAAGAATTGCTGGGAAGGAATCCAGATGTTCAAGGGGCTTGACTACCATGAGTTAGATGTGTTTGTGTTCAGATTTCCCTTCTGTGCCTCATTCACTGCATCTTGCCCTTTAAAGTCTTGCTTAGGCTTTAGAGTGAATATTGGACAGTTCTTAAGCTGTTTATATGGCCACAGTGCTGCCACCATATATGGTAGGGTTTTTTTTTGTTGTTGCTGTTTAAGATACTAGACTTAAACTAACCACTTCCTTTGAACCTTTGTTTCTACTGAGTACTATCATTCAGAGTTTATTGTTTTACTTGTTTGTGTGAGTGTTTTGTGTGTGTATGCCTGTGCACCATGTTTGTGCAGGGCCCTCGGAGGTGTGAAAATGTCATATTCCATGAAACTGGTGTCACAGACATTTGTGGACCAAATCCACGTTCCCTGCAAGAGTAGCAAGCACTTCTACCCGTGGGCCGTCTCGAGTCCCTACAGCTCGTTGTTTACCTTACCCTAGGGTCATCCTATTTTGAGATTGTCAAGAATCTGTGTGTGTGTGTGTCTGTATCTGTGTGTCTGTGTGTGTCTGTCTGTCGGTCTGTCTGTCTTTGTGTCCGTCCATTGGTCCTTGTGGTGTGCGCAGGTGCATGTGTACCATAGTGGGCAGGTGCAGGTTATTGTCTTCCACCCTGTTTCAGATGATATTGTTGATTCTTGCTAAGAGCTGCCTTTCCAGCTTCTAGGGATTCTTTCTTGCTTCTCATCTGTAGGTGTGCTGGGACTACATAGAGATGCACTGGACTGTCTGCTGTGTCTGTTTTAACATGGCTGCAGAGGCCAGGGGCATTAAAGTCAGGTCTTTATGCTTGTATGACAAACGCTGTATCCACTGAGCCATCTCCACAGCCCATGTGTTCCTGTTTTGTGTGTGTACATCATGTGAATGCATGTGGACATGTGCAGGTATATGGAGGCCAAAACATGTTTGTTTTCCTCATTCTCCAACTTATGTTTTGAGATGAGATCTTTGACTGAACCTGGCTCACTGATTTGGCTAGACTGTCTACCTAGAGAGCATCACAGATGTGTCCTCCTCTAACTCCACAGCACTGGTATTACAGGTGTGCACTGCCACTTCTGGCATTTGTTTTCATGGGAGCTAGGTTCTCACTGCTTGATCAGGGAACACACTTGGCCATCTCTAGCCCCTTTCTTTTTACTTTTTCAAGACGGGGTTTCTCTGTGTAGTTTTGGTGCCTGGCTGATCTTGCTCTGTGGACCAGGCTGGCCTCGAACTCCACAGAGATCCGCCTGGCTCTGCCTCCTGAGCGCTGGGATTAAAGGCGTGTGCCACCGCCACTCTGCTCTTTTTTTCAAAGAATGCAATATTCCCCTTCATGCTGAATTTTCACCTATGAGCGCACTAAGCAGGCCTGACTCTAGCTTCAGAGATCTCACATTGTAATGTTTAGGCATATTCGGGGTAGTAAAGTAGACAGAGAAATCATTTCTCACTTTAAAGAAAACATAATCTAAAGGATGACCTTTCTGATTTCTGGGAAAACCCCTCCCTCCCTCTATGATATTCGTATGTTAGTGCACACAGTGTTACTCAAACACCACAAGTGGATGTCAGTGAGCTCCTTTTAAAAGAAGTGAAGCTTATGATGTGGAACTGACACTAAACCATTAGTTATCTTCAAAATGAGGTATTTTGCTACCTACCTAATTTCAGTGAAGTGTACTGTGGATGCCTTTCCCTCAAAGTTTAATTGGTCCCAGGACCTCAGATGACCCATTTATGACAGAAGTATAAAGGCTCTGAGCTCGGTATGGTTACAAGGAGGATTTGGCACAGAGTAAGAAGGCTTTGGGTTTTGAAGAGTGAGCTAAAGAACTGAAGCCTGCTGCCTGTTTTCTTGTTCATTTTTGTACTGAAATGTGAGCTTTAAAACAATAATTGAATTCTTCACTGCAGTTTCTATAGTTGGTTCCTCCCTTTAACATCCGTTAATATTTAAAATTACTTTGTAATTCCTTCACATTGATAGAGCTACATAGGCTGTAAACACATGATAGTATTAACTTTCTGAAGGCTGGTGTTCTCCCCAGACTTGTATTTGTATCTGAAGGAGCTAAGGGAAACAATAAAGCAGCAGCTTGTCCTCCCAACAAGTGTTGTGACCTCACAATGGTGAATGGTGTATCTCTAGAAACACTTCAGTTTCCAAAGTATAAAACATGAAGAGACAGTGTCACCAGCATGACATGCTTTGTTAAACCTCTCCTGAGAATGCTTCAGGAAGCTTGGTTGTACTGGTATTACACACCCACACCCACATAACAGATTATAATACTAGTTAATTTAGAAACCTTGAAATGCCCTGCTAGTAAACTTCCGGTGTAACTGGGTAAACTGACTTACTCTTGTTTCTGTTTTACAGGCTTTCCTCGGAGACAGGTGGCATGGGGAGCAGCTAGAACAGTGCAGATTCATCCATAATCCCTTTCTGCTGTTCACCACCACCCATGATCCATCTGTGTAGTTTCTGAACAGTCAGCGATTCCAGGTTTTAAATAGTTTGTAAATTTTCAGTTTCTACACACTTTATCATCCACTCATGATTTTTTAATTAAAAGCGTTTTAATTCCTTTCTCTGTTCAGCAGTTACGCTGAGATATCCATATTTAGTTTTATAAGCTTCTCCCCTTTTTTCCATTTTTTTGGGTTTTTTTTTGGCTCATGAATTTTTGTTTGTCATGGAAATGTAAGAGTGGAATATTAATACATTTCAGTTTAGTTCTGTAATGTCAGGAATTTTTCAAAAAAAAAATTAAAAGATGGACTGGAGCTTTTTCTTTGTGAATAGAAACTGGATGCCACAGTGACTTATGTGGGTGTTATTCCTGTCTTGATGTTATTTTTATACCTTTAAACCTTCACATAGCCCTGGTTGGGTTTCAATAGAATTAAGATATTTTCTTCTGTTTTACCACTCCATATTTTTTTCTGTTGTTTTGCTTTTTTAATTGCCCTTGATCTTTCCCCGCCATGATTTTGGGTGGCCTTTAGAAAATTTGTTCGTGAAGAATGGCAATTACACCGCACTAGGATTGTAGAGCAACAGATGTGTCTATGGAGCTGGGTCAGGAAGATGTGTGTACATGTATTTTACACACACATACACACACATATATCTGGTGATAGTAAGTTTGGGAGTGACTGCCCCTTATTCTCTAGCTCATACTTTAATCTT